ACGTCTATGGCCTCACAATTTTTTTTTCAGAAAAAATGGCACGTTGGTACATAAAGGCACAATTCAGAGAATATATTAAGGTTTTCCACCCTTGGTATATAGGTGAGACCTCGGTAATACCACGTGAGACAGTTTCGTATTGCTGTGAGGTTGGCAGCTTGGTAGGAATGGATATCAGATATTGTTATCAGGCATACTGAGTTCCTCCTTTCTAGAGAAAATACAGGCTTGAGTTTTGGTGGCGTTGAATTCAACTATAGGTTGTGGGCACCATGTGTTGTGGGTTGCCCATGCTGTAAGTTCATCAACATTTTCATTGACAGCGTTGACCTGCCTTCTGCCTTCGTCGCAAATTCTTAGTTTCCTGGCAAGAAATGGGAATTATAGAAGAGAATGACGTCGAACACCAAGAATATGACTCTACATCATGCCCAGCAACAGTTTGGGAGTTCCAGCGCATTTAGCAGAAGAGTTTTCAGGCTAGCAATGTATAGTTTATGCAATGTCAGTTGGAAAAACACATCACCGCAAGCCGTCGGTCCCTTTGAGAGTTCAAAGAGTGCGGCAGCGCGGCCCGACATTTGTTTGATGATCTGTTCAACCATTGTCGATCTAAATGAAAACCTAGTAGGCGACCTAGTACGCGAGGAGGTACAATATTGTCTGTTCTTTGAATCAAAATCTGTCTGCCTGTCAAGTGGCGCTGGCATCCTGAAAATGGAAAAAGCTCATTTGTTTATGTCAAAATAGACCATATTAGGTTGATATTGTCTTCTTCTATTTTTTTCCAATATGTTAATCAACCACTACTTTCCATCATTGACGTGATATTCGATACAAAGGCGATGAAGAAGATTCTTTCATGAGATTGAGATGTCATAATCAAAAAATTATTTTCTGACAGTTGTCATTAACTTATAATTTCGTCTTTGTGAATATGTTGAACTTTGAATTCGTATTCTTGAAAATTACAATTATTCCTAATTGTTTCTTCTAGTATTAGTTTTCTATTGCAGTTTGTTGATTGGTTTGTGAGTGCGATTGTGTTATTTTGCAATGTTATCTGAAAACTTCGCACTCCAGGAGGTGGAGGTGTAAAATTATCAAGACCTGGTTTCTCCTATCCCCACTGTTGTGAATTTGAGCCTCAAATCCTGAGGCATCAATGAGTTTATGCCATATTCATTGGATTGCAAGGTGAAATTTTTTTCTCAAATCGTATAATATTTGAAACTTGATGCATTGATATTTCAGGAATGGGATTTTTTGAAGTGAGCGAACATGATACTGTATGTTTCCAACATTTTGAGGGAACTGTTTCTTGCCAATGAAGAATTGGAAACGGTTTTGGAAGGAGGGTTCGGTTCCAAGTTTGTTTAAGGAAGGTATACATAAATAAAATGATATTTAACAAGTTCCTACCTATACAAACTTTTTGTAGCAATCAGCTTATTAGGTAGTTTCTAGTTGACTAGAACTATAAGTTTCAGTATAAAAATTACCAAGAACTTGACTTTGGTACCTCTAAAAATTGTTCCAGTCAATTGTCATTGAATTCATTTCAGAATGGTACAGAACATTGAAACTGGGGACAAAATAGATATCAAATATTTTTATAGTTTCAGACTCATCAATGTAGTTTGGAATATGATGCTGAAGAGAAACTCCTTCCTTAAGGAACACGACCTGAAGATGAGGAAGCATCTTAGGAGGAAACGGGCATTTGAACAGATATTATAGAATGATAATAAATAATAATAATGTTTATTCAAAATTTTGACAATATAAATTAAAAAGTTATACATATTGGTAATTGGTATTGAATATTCCTATGGTTTAATTCGTGGCAATTATAGACACATCTTCTCATATTTAGTGAAGTTAGTGGCTTCAATAAGATGATTTTATAAAAAATAATCATTGTTCAGCAAAACATATATTTAACCTAAATACTTACCTTTGGTACAATATATAATGTTTTCAAAGTTACCTGTCAATAAATCTGTACAAAAATAAACAGGGTATCAGAGGAGAACAAATTAGTAGAATAAAAATTGCAATAATTCTTCATAATTATATTCAATTTTTAAAAAAAATATAATTGTATTGTCATTCCTACATATAGAAGTTATTTTCCAATAAAAACAATTCTAAATATCCCAGCATCTTGATATTTTGAGTTTGGAGCAGAATATCCATAAAACATTGATGAAATAAACAGATTGAGTCTAACCTTATTGCTTCTATATATTCATTTCAGATGGGAAATTTTCCATTCTGTTCTCAAACATCATCATCCTTCTGGTACATTTCTTCTAAACATTACTCACATAATAATTCCTCATGCGATTCTTCCACATCAATCTGTTTGTATCACTCATAGTTTTTCGTTTTTCAACTGAAAAGCTATTCATGTAGGTACCTACTCTTCGCTGTAGGTAGGTACCTGAAATTTTCAAGTATAGTGAATCCGATGTGTACATAGTTTACATAACTAAAGACATGTTTTCACTGCAAATAATGGAATTTCACGAATTATAGAGTAACTTATCAAAAATATAGAAGGAAATAAGCAGCCTCTACCTTTCTGCTTGGCTTGCATGTCGAAAAAGTGTGAAAGCACTGATGAGTTTCCGAAGTTTCCACAGTTCCAACTTAAATTCAAGTTGCATCATAAGTCAACCTAATACAGCATTGCCTAAACATCTCCCTGCTTCCATTCAAGTATAGGTAGATGGTTTTCATACTTGATAATATCTTTCATGATAATGTTTCATTTTTGGGTTTCAACATGACAGATTTTTATTTACAAACTTGACAGGCCCTTGAAAAATGTTTGGGTTAGGAATAAAAAAGGAATAACTTAGTTTACTTGGTTCACATTGATGTCTCTGTACTACTGAACGCCTTCATTTATTTTTTTCAAAGAACAGACAATATTATGCTCTCGCCTACTAACTACTTAACTAGGTTTCCATTTAGATCGACAATGGTTCAACTGACTGATCAAATAATCAACTTTTTGATTTAACTTCTATGTTCTATGTTCTATCCTCGGCTCTATCTGTGTATTTGAACTTCATGTGTACCCAAAATTGACGGACGTGCACGAGGAGAGAACTATAGGAAATGGTGGATGTAAGCCACGCTACGTAAATTGTAACATTATAAATGAAATAAAACTACAAGTATAAATGAACCAAAAGATGTTTTATTATAATCACATAAATATAAAATACCAACAAGCAAGATATAACAATGAGACCTTATTGCCGTCTATATAGTTAGTAAATGACAGTGGAGCAACAAAACTTTTGGCACCTGCCAACTTCGTTTTTCCATAAACTATAATTTGAAATGATTTGAGCCAGACAGTACATTTGACAAAGTATTATATTAGTGTTTGCAAATGCTTCACCAGTCTCAAGTGAAATATATGGTCACTTCAATTTAGTTTTTATTCAAACATCTGAGAGTTTGGTATGAACAGAAAATAATTTTTCTATTTGCTCCAAAATACTTAATATCATGTTATTTAAAGTTCCCTAACAAAGGGGTTCCGCAATAATTGCGGTCCCCATTTAACATTTTCATAATTTTAAAAATATTTTCACCAATATGAATTATATGTATACATAACTTTTTTCCTCCAGAACAGTACTCCTATATGTAACAATAATGCTGATGATGAAGCTTTAAAGCTTCGAAACATGTCCCTGTAAGATTGCTTACAATAAAGTATAGCTTTGGTGGAGTCGACTGTAAGAATTTTGTCCTGTCCTAGTTTTTATTCCTTTTTAGCCTTTTTCGAAGCTTTTTTCTATAGTTTTATACTTACGACCTAGATCAATTATATATTTGAATGAATAATCGACCAGAATGAATATTGCAAACAATCGAGATATCGAGGTATCACGTTTTCAATGACTGCGAAAGCTCCGAAAAATTCCTCGAAATTCTTTGTTTACAAACAAACAAAAATGTGTCAGCCGAGGCACATTCTGCATGCTTGTTCTTATCAAGTATTGTAGCCGCAAGGTCGTTCCTCTCAGCCTCAGCTCTCACACACGTCTGCGGTCAACCACCCCATACCATACCATACCTACACCATCCATCATACATAGGTATCTATACCCATACCTCCCATACCGATACCCCGAAACAGGTGCCTTGCCCCAGCCGTTCGGCCCGAACGCGGATATTACATCACACCACAATCACCTTGTTTACAGGAATCTCCCAGCATAGCCGATTCCGACAATCGATTACAATATTGGGGGATTATTCAGGCACTGTTATGCACGTGTCGCTTACGAAACCCCTCTGCCCCACCTGCGCGTAAGCCTGCGACGCCTATTTTGACGGGAAGGTCGATCACGTGATAGCGACAGTGTCTGCTGGTACGCGGGGAACGGCGGGGTCTGGCTAGACTTTCCACCGCACACTGCAAGTCGTCTGAGTGATGGCCGCCTAGAGAGTGCACGGTCGGATTTAGTGAATTTCGGATTGATTCTGCTGTATTTCGCGATATAACGTGTGAAATTCCGAGGATTGCACCCCCTTTTGCCTCGAGGAAGGGTTGTAATCCGTCGAAGAGGTTGTAGTGCGAAATAATCCTGAAATAATGTCTGTCGGACTGCGCTTGCGCCTTGCAACAGTCTGCGAAACAGTCGAGAGTGTCGACGAGGACGAGACGATTATTACCGGTCACAGTCAGACATGAATCGTGCTACTCGTATGTCTGTCGTCGTCGGTGTCGAGAGCTGCGGCTAGACAGAGAAAGAGAACGGTAAACAGTTTCGGGGCGGTAGTGGATCGTGCTGAACCTTCAAAATCGGTGCTAAAATTCACCTTGATAATTACATAATGCTACCTGCCGTCTGATCGTTTTAACTCGAACGCGTTACATAAATACCAGTGAACAAATAATATAGTTCAACATGACCAAGCTTAATATCACAACAATGTGTTGATCGTTCGCGGACTCTGACTAGGTAATCATGGAAGTAACGCCTCATCTGAAGAGTGTTTTGAAAAATTACCAGCACAGTGCCACCAAGAGTTTGCAGGGCCCGGGCTTGTCTTTGGTGGCGCCGAAAAATGAGATTGCTTCGCCCGAAATCAAAGAAGAGGAATTCGTACCTGCAGCTTTTCCCGTACAACAGGTCCCGATCCTCACGATCCCGGATACTACGTGCAGCGAACGCACTGAAACTATCCTCGAAGGAGAGTCGATTTCTTGTTTCGTGGTAGGCGGCGAAAAGCGTCTTTGTTTGCCTCAGGTGCTCAACTCGGTGCTCAGGGACTTCAGCTTGTCGCAAATCAACCAGGAGTGTGATCAATTGCAGATTTATTGTTCTCGATGTACCCCCGAGCAGTTGAACGTGTTGAAGAATCAAGGAATTCTACCCAGTGGTGCGCCTAGTTGCGGATTAATTACGAAAACGGATGCGGAAAGACTATGTAGTGCCTTGTTGTGCGGACGACAGGTGACTTCGGGACTTCGATCGCGAAAAGGGGCCCTTTCGATTCCTATTTATCACGAGTGTTTTGGAAAAGCTAGAGGACTCTTGTTTCCTGAATTGTATGTTAGCAAATACGCAAAGTGCATCGAATGCGGGGACTGTCAAGCGGGCTTTGCACCCAAGCAGTTCGTCTGTCACGTTCATAGGGACTTGGAGAACAGGACTGTGCACTGGGGGTTCGATTCGTGCAATTGGAGAAATTATTTGCTTGTGCCAAGGGATCACGGGGATTACGAACACTTCGTCAAGATTCTGGACGAGATGAAGGAGCAATACGAAGGGAATGTGCCGTTCTCCCCACCAATAGTGGAACCCGTCATCAAAAGAAAACAGGTAAGAGGTCTACGGCTTTGCGAAATTAGTTGGATATTTTCATTATAATGGAGCATGATTCGAAGACAAAAGATTCTCGAGAATCACAAAGGGGTTGAGTTCCCTTTTCCCTCTTGGAGGTCTCCAAATTCTAAATTCCTGGAATTGACGGAAGTGACGATGTGAACCTTAGAAAAAGACTGTTTTGCAAAGTTGGGTCATTGACGAGGTCATTGATGGGCATGAGGATGAGCCTTATGGTTCGCTCTCCTTTGAACGGACTAAAGCAAACTCAGGGATGGTTGAATTTGAACTTTTGAGATGTCAAAAGCTGCTATCGAGGCTGCTGTGAAGTGAATTACGTAGGTACATTTTTACGTGAAAGATAATTTTCTGAGGAATTCACAACTTGCTGAGACAAATGGTCAGATATAATGTGACATCACAATATATTCCCTCAACTGTGGTGATCCTGTGGTCACCTTTGAATTTCTATACATAATATACTGACTCCCCTTGTGGTCACTGGCCACTGATCGTTCTGTGATGAGCGAGGTGAGGAGGCATCAGGCGGAAATTTACGCAATTATTTATGTGTTGGAAGATTAGAGGAAACATACCTCACACGTAATAGTTATTTAAGTACTGAGGGCGTAAAGATAACGATTATGGACCGCAGCGTGTAAGTGAACTCCCAAAAAAGGCTCTCCGCGATTGGAAGACTTAACAAATTGCAAATTGTTTCTGGTCTGGATTCCTGGCCACTGGTATGGAAGGTAATGAAACGGCAGATTCCCTTGCAAGGGTGGGTCCCTCGGTGGGTCCCGCTAGTCCCGCAAGGAGTTTCATATTTCATCGGACCAGAACCTGCCATTGGCATCTCAGTATATCTCACCAAGTTTTGCCAAACACATGGATTGCAAGAAGAGTTTCAGAATACTGGCAGAATCTACCAGGATAGACTACACAGGAATGACCTACCGAGTGACCTACGCACCTACCCTATCTAACAGGCCTTCTTACAGGCCACTGTGGTCTGAATTATCATATGTCAAGACTTGGCTGTCGGATGATGCGACGTGGTGTCTCTGTCATGAGGATGATGAACCAGCAGAGCATGTATGTACTTTGTGCCTGCCATGCCGAGAAATCTTGTGGCAGTGTCGAACACTGTGTTTTTCTCTCTTGGAGCGCACGATAGGAATTTCATATAATGTTCGGAGAACATCGTGCGTTCCTAGGAAGGATAGGGAGAGGAGGTAGGTATTGGAATTTTTCAAACTTTCGGTATAAGTTCTTGGGAATACTTCCATTGGCAAAGCTTAACCGTTCTACAGAAGAACGAGTGTTGGTAAAGTGTTGTTCGGCGTATCTCAAGGTTGACAACGAATGCATGTGCTGACTGGGCTTGTCGAGTTCATCTAACTGGTATTAGTGATGGAATAATGGCAGAGATTTCTGAGGAACATTACCCGTGGAATTTTCTATAGAAAAGTGAGAGGCCGCCGACATTTTTACGGTGTTCAAATGAGGCAAAGAACTAGTGAGTGTGGCATCATCCACCAGGCGAATGGCTCTTCTCCGGATGGAATCTAAAAGCATCAGCGTATGTTTTGGTGCCGAATCCCATAACAGAATTCCAAAACTGGCCGTATAAGTGCTTTGTAGATCATAAGAAGCTGTTGAGGTGTGAAGTTGATTTCCGCACGGAACAAAAATCCGAGCTTTTGTGAAGCAGCTTTCGCGATGGATCGGACACGATTTTCCCATGAAAAAGTATTGCTGATGATGAAAATACCGAGCACAGATATAGTGGACTTGGTGGGAATGGTGGTACCAGACATTGTTATATCATGCATACTGTGTTCCTTCCGCCTTCCTAGAAAAAACGCTGGCTTGAGTTTTGGTGGCGTTGAATTCAACTAGGTTTTTGGTTCCCCAGGCTGTAATTTTATCAAGATCTTCATTGACAGCGTTGACCTGCCTTTGTCGTAAGTTATTTGTTTCCTGGGAAGATATAGGAATTCTGGAAGAGAACGCAGTATGGAGAGTACTATCGTCTACAAAGCTGTGAATTGGGCAAGTGGTTGCTCCCAACATTTCATTGATATGAATTAGGAACAATATTGGTGCCAAAATTGATCCTTGTGGAACGCCGGAATTGATGGCAATGGTAGTGGACGGAGTATCGTCTGATACATGGAGCTATCTGCCTCAAAGAAAAATTGATAAATGATTTCATAGCTGGGGTGGCAAGCCATATGATGGTAGTATGTGGAGGAGTCCTTGGTGCCAAACACGGTCGAATGCCTTCGATATATCCAACGCTACAGCTAGAGATTCCCCATGTTTTCTAATGAAGCTTGCCACGTATGCGGTGACGTAGACAAGTAAATCTCCAGTTGATCTTCGGTGGCGAAAGCCATATTTTCTATTATTAATGATTCCCGAGCTTACTAGATATTAGACGAGCTCAAAGTTGCTGGTTTTCTCCATAACTTTGGAGATAACTGATAACAGAGCTTTTTCTCCTTCTTTGCGGGGATTGGGAAATCATCCGACTTGAATGCAAAATGTATGTATGTTTATTAACGAATATATAACAACGAATGATGGTTCTTTATCGAATTTCATAATTCGGCTGGATGAGAGTTGAGATATGTGATTGAGGAAAGAACGACAGAGGATGTCATTTAGTTGATGAATGATTAACCATGTCGTGAGAGAAATTAGATTGAGCAACGGTGCCGAATAACGATGGATTCGACAGTCCGTGTCGTGAGGGTCCTAGGAGTGAACGAAGGATTTGTATGTCCGTGCCGTGGAGGCACTAGGAATAAGCGACGGACTCGAATTACGGTGGTTACGAATGTCCGATTGCACGTATCACGAACGCGAGTGTCTTATGTGTGAACTGTGAGTTCAAGTGCGAATGTTGGAAAATGAACTTGACTGATTGATAGCTGAAAATGAAATAAATACAAAAAGCTCAAAGTCATTTCCACACAATGTTCATAAAATGAACAACTATGGTAGATTTCGGGAGAAAACCAACTACTTTCCTGGCTAATGCCATGCAGAACATTGAATTGCATCCTCCCGAAATCTATGCATCGACTCGTATAAACGAATACTGATACAAGTGATTCTTTCCTGAATGCCTATTGATTTCGATTTAGTCAGGCCACGCTAGACAACCACAGACTATTTCGTAGTTGAAAATGAAATGTTTGATGTCGCGAGAATAACTGTAACTCTCGACTGAACTAGATGTCGATAGACAAAAAGAACCGAACTGTGTTCAGTGTGAAGGGATGAACCGTGTCTTACAAATGATCGTGTAGGACTAATTCTACTACTTTTTGGTAGAAGCGGCATCACCGCATTAATGATATTGTTTTATAAAAATCGTTCATGCGATCACTTCAAAAGTTCAAAACGATCCTTTTGCTGGTTCGCCAGGAACGTCTAATGAATCCAAAGCCAAAGTCTAGGATTGTAGCCTCAAATTAGATTTTAAGAGGGGTTTAACCCTATGAGCGATCATTGGGGAAACAAGGAACGGCAGAAATCAAAATACTCGAAGCTCGCTAAATAAATTCAAGATTTTTTTTCACGGATCGTTTCTAGAAGGTTGGATCTAGGCATCTCTCGGAGTACTTTTTCAAATTTTTGAAAAAAAATAGTCGAAAAAAATTCCAGAAAATTGACCAGATTCACTATTTTTTTTCTCACTAGGTATATATTTTTTTTGAAAAGTACTTCGAGAGATGCCTCACTTATACATTTATCTTCGTTGTCAAAAAAATTCGCAAGGATCCATTCAAAATATCACCATCAAAAGTGATTTTTGCTGGACCTCTGCAGACGCAATTTTGGATCATTTTTCTTCACTGATACGAGCGCCCTCACACGAATATGCACTTCTACATGGATACTATGAATGATTGAATGAATAGTGAATTCATTCATAAAAAGTAGCACTGAAGCTATTCAGAAAATTTTAGCACTGGAGATGAAACCAAAAGAAGTTTTAGATGGGTTGATTGAATTTTTGTATACGACGTATAGGTACGTTTATTAGGTAACCCATATAATAAAAATACGTATGGTTTGCAGGTAGGACACCAATTCCAATAATTTCAAAATGCGAATATAAGGAATGCCAGAAGTTCCATCATATTTATTCTAGGTAATAACTGGTATTATATAATATACGAGTTACATATATTTTAATATTCTTGTCAACATTAAGAATTTGCCTTCTGGAAATAGATAAACAGAGAAATCTCTCATTGAAGAATAATAGTTTCGCTCCAGGTGACTCACCCAATTAGCTGATAAAAGATTGAACATGTTTGGCAAGCGGCAAGCGATGGACATAAAGGCGGTGAGCATAAAAGCGGCGGACATAAAGGGTCCGAAAATCCTGGAATTCGTGTTATACACGGGGGATTGGAATATTGTTTTTGTTCAGTTTACTTCAGTATTCCGACAGTGACATTTGCGTTTTTCAATATTTGTGCATTATTTGTATGAGCAAAAGTTATAATGCCGAGAAGTAATTATCGAACTGGTAATAAATACCGCAGAAGACAATCTGTCAAAATATACCTCGCAATGATGAATGTTGGCAAAATAAAATGTAATCGAAATAGTGGATAGTAGATTCGAAAGGAATATGGAGATTACAAAGTGATTTTTTTTTATTTTTGTTGAAACCAAACCTATAGATTTGACATTCGGTAAGCACTTTTCTATCTGTTATATATGAACTGTCCCTATCCTTCTTAGTTTCCTTGTTATTCGAAATAATTTTACACCTACTATGCATATATAACAATTTTATAACCTAAATGTTTATCTTACATCAAATTATCATTCGAATTGAATATTGAATGGTTCACGTACACGAAAGATATTGAAACAAATGAAAAACACAAAGTGTGGTGAAGAAATAATAATGATTTTTCATTAGCTTCGATCCACCCACAAGCGTCCCAATAAAAAAAAACCTGACGAGTTCCATGTCAGAGGGCTCGAAAAAGAATAACATCGTTACTCCCATTGGGGGTGACGCTAACACCCAGTTTTTTCAATGGATAAGGACTGTTCATATTGCCGATAGAAAAGTGCTCACCGAATTTCAGATTGCTAGGTTTTGTTTCAACTGAGACAGAAATTAAAAACCAAAAATGTTTGCGATCCTTAACACCCCGTATAATTAAAACATGTTTCTCCATGACAAAACAGAAAAATACGTATCTAATATTTTGAGTTTTGCTATCGATTGTCAAAGTAAAACCTGAGACACCCTGTATATGGCGTTGTTTATTACACAATATAAATTCTGCTTATACAAACCAAAAAATTCCACTCATGTAATAGTTATTTTTTTTCCCCTGTAACAATGCATTTTGATATTCCATTTGCATTAAATTTGTCGTCAATCAATAAATTTAATCATGTATAGGTGAGTGCAAGTTATTCGAATAGCAGTATTTTTCTGTAAAAAATTCCCTATCTTGAACTGTTTTTGCTGCCTTTCTATTATTCAGATTCGCACTTTCGAATTATATTTTTGCAGTTGAGTTGATACATACCACTAATTTATGCTCATATGGTATATTTTTTTGAAAACTTCTCACCCCTACAATATTTAACATTTTTGAGGGGCTGATGGCGGCTGGCATCATCAGTGAAGGCAAAGGGGATGAAACGAGCAAGGTGATTTTTACGTGAAAACATGTCCTCCTCATAGTTATTAGTGTAGCGGGACACAAGGTGAAAGTAATCAAAAAAAATTTTGGAAGTAGAAAGATATCAGACCCTCACTATCCTATCTAGAAACAATTGACTACTTTTTTCTGTGGTACCGAAAAAAGTTATAAACGAACAAACTCAAAAATTACAAAAAAAAATCTACTTCGCATGTAAATGTATAAACCTTTGTAACTTGGAGACTACATAACTTAGATGCCTCAACTTATCATTTAGTTGAGGATATGATGAAGATTCGATCGGATTCGATCCATGGTATATAAACTGGCAAAATTGAGTTTTTCATATGTGAAAATAAATTTTTTGTCACGCATCACATGAGTAATTTAGCATTAACACCTCTTCAATTGATAATAACTTTCTTTGTCACAATATGAATTTTCAATTCTTTCCTCCCATCTAGATAGATTGAAGTGTAATGAACAATTTGTTTCGAATAAACTTTTCGCACGTTTCAAAAATAAACTTTTTATAGCGCTTTGAGTGATAACGTACAACTTTAGATAGGTCATGCACAGTGAGTGATACAGAGTGCGATAGATACTGGTGCATGAGTGCGGAACGAAGATGAAGGAATATCAAGAGCTCCATCCACAGATATGATGAATATAATAGATTTATATCGATAAATTTACATATTTGCTCGCTAAGAATGTCAATTTTAATATAAAACATTGAATCTAACTAAAATTTATCACACATTCCTCTCAAAGACTCTGAAAAAGTTTTTTATCATAAATATACCATATTGGTATACTATAGTTTTTCCAGCTGTATAATGTTGATCAATTTTTCTGGGGACTCATGTTTGGAAAATTCTAGCATCTCCCAATAGGTATCTTCTTGGTATTTTTTCTTTACCATTTTCACTTCGTTGCCTTTGAAGTGAATTATTTTGGGACCATATTCATGAACTGAAGTTATTTACCTACATATTCAATATTCAACCAAGAACGCTCCTTTCTCCATTCCCAAATGAGACAGTTATCCTCCCCGAATCTTTACTGTTTGTTCTTGTCTAGAGCACGTAAACGCCGCTGTATCGTTCTCACTCGTGCGCTCGGATGGCCTCTTACGCATTAGACAATAAATGCTTCTACAAAGTTCATTTTTGAAACGTGCGAAAAGTTTATAGGAAACAATTTGTTGCTTACATTTCAATCTATCGAAAGATATCATAAAAATCGAAATTCATATCGTGAACTAAAAAGTTATGATAAACTTAAGAGATGACAATGGCAATTTTTTCGCGAATTCTGTACAAAATGATACATTTTGGATCGAAAAATAATTCAATTTCCCAACATATCATATATGAATCGAATCTCCAGAATATGCTTGATCAAATTATGAAAAGACTACGTATATAAGTGTTATAATTGCGAAGTTACAAAGGTTTATATATTTACGCGCAGTTATTTTTTTCTTAAATTTTCGAGTTTGGTCGCCTATAACTTTTTTCGGTACCATAGAAAAAAGTAGTCAAGCTGGAATATTGTGTAATAATCATATATATTCAAGGTGGTGAAGGTCCTATATCTTTCTACTCCGAAAAAAAAAAAGTCTGTAAGGAAGGGGATTGTGCCTCGTTCTCCTCCATACACTAGATGTATACCTATTGCCTAAAGCACAACTTGTACGCTGTGCCTGTGGGTATTCGGAGAATTCAGCGACCGCAGATGCATAGGGGTAACACTCAAGGCCGCTTTTACTATAAATGTTGAAATATTTTACGCTAGAATGAGTTGGAGTGAGACACTAGACGACTTCCTTCGTTATCGGGCCCCGCCTCCTTCGGACAGGATTTTTACTTCCCCCTTTACACCTTAGATAAAATTTGACCTTTTTCAGAGGGTAAACCCCTCCTTAATAGGGGTTTAATCAGTTTTGTCAATGTCGAGGTCATTGTACTTCTTTTTGATTCGCCACTCGCCAGTGAACAAGTACATATTTGAATTTGTTTCGAACCAACATTTTTATTCCCTGGCATAATTCGAAGAGCTCTGCATCTAAAATGAACCCAGTCTGACCGAGTGAATTGTGAAATTTTTAATGATATTTTGCGGCCTCTCTGTCAGCCGGCCTATAATTATGAAAAACCTTGAGTCGACACTGTTGTCTATTGGCGGCACTAAGCTCTCGACCGACTAGCAAGATTACGAAATATGAAACTAGAAATCAGCGTTGCCAAACTGACAAAATATCAGGCATCATCCTGACCGAGATCCTGAATTCTAAATATTGAGCAACATATACTCCTAAACATACCTCGAATTATACTGACACTTTACTCAAAACATATTAGCACGTTGAAAATTATATTAATGAACAAAAAATGATAGAATATGAATAACTATTTCAGAAAAATATTAGTGAAATCCACTGGCGTAACTAGCCATCCTAGAGGGGGGGGCTAGAAAGGACATGGTCTATTATAATGATAATGATGTGATCTAGGATATAGCCTATTTATGAATTATTTTATTGGAAATAGATCCACATTCGGGTGAGCTTTTCAAACTTAAAGAATATCACCTGCTTAATACGGTTCTGGATTCAAATACGTCGTCCGAAAGGTATAAAATTGAATTGTATTTTTAATGGCTTCGAAGAATTTTCCTACCCATACTCACATTCACTCTATGACTACACACAAAGTTTATAAAACTCCTTGGAGTTTACTCTGTTGATATTTTATTTATTTTCTTTGTTCCCTAAACAAGCAACAAGTATTGCCTCTACCACAGATAGCCAGAAGGCAGAAGGCCAAATAAATTTTTAAATTTTCAGTTCACAACTTACCTTTTGTTCTATTTTTCACTATTTCACTGTACTTTTGAGTATTGTCACAGTAATAAAGTCTATAATGACAAAAATAGAAAGAGTTGTGCTTAAAAGATTTCAATATAAGTAATGTTATAACCTGTCTCGAACGATTTTTAAGACTGACTGAGACTGAACTGAAACGTGCCGTGAAATACCTGGGAATCCCAGGATCACAGAATGTAGAATGCAGTGTTGCCACGAACTTTATACCATATTATACATGGCGCCGACCCAAATTATACATAATTATACACAATTTACACATACATATTTGATTCATCAACGATTCATAGAAATTTATGTTTGAGAAAAAGTGATTATGCGTATTTCCATTAGGAACTTCGATAAACAACACTGATATTCCTGATACCAACCACAGATGATTTGAGAAAATGATTTCAATGTATTCGAATGAAACCTATTTATGAAACATATTTTCCACTAATGCTAGCACTAGCATTATAATTGAGCCATTTATCCATTTAGGATTATGATTCTGAAATATTTGAAAATTTTCATGATGAATGATATGATAACATGACAACAAAACAATTCGATTGACGTACGACGTATTCAGAAATGGCACATATTCTTTGAAACCTTTGCATCCTGTTAGACTAGGCACGTTTTCAAAAATTAACAATGCAAGAAGCATTTCATGTAACAATTGGTGAAACAACGTTTTTAAGGTATTTCGACCCCGCTGAATACGGATCTGCCTGTTGCCAAAGCGAAATTTGGACCGGAAGTCCGGTATCCAAGATGGCGGCCGAGATGGTGGTCAAAACTCTGTTGCCCCATATCGCCCATGTCCGTTGGCTTGTAATAATGGTTCAAACACCTGCTCAAGGGTTTTCCCGGATGCTTGGTACTTTGCAGTGCTTGAAATTTAATTACCTCAAGTTATGAGTGCATGGGCTTCAAGATGGCCGCCGAAGAAAGTGAAGGAAACGACCATTCCAGAGTTCAAACACTGTTTATTGCAGGAGTGTGGAAAGATAATGAAAAAATAGTTCAGTAGCTGATGGCAATAATACAAAAATGATAAATAATCAACCATTTGAAGAGTTAAGACATAGGTGAGAACGGTGGCACAACATGGTGCAAGTCAGTCCATTCTTCTTGCACGTGTCCATTGTTGTCAGGCAGTAGGACAAACAATTACAGGTTAAAATATCCGTGCAAGCTTTGGGAACGGGCTCACGTATCATAAGGATGGGAATGTACTCGTCTTGGTGAAGCCTCCACCCATATGACTCAGGATACATCACCTCCGGTCGAGCATGATGAGCATTGTCCCACACGTTTACCTGAAATGTTTTTTATTATAATTACCGAAAAGCAACTGGTTATACTGATCACAGTATGCATCCCATCATTTCTTTACCTGGTAATGGCATCACAACTTCGATGTCATTAAAGACATGTTGGAGAACTTCCAGTGCTAGAAAATTCTTCCAATTTTTTGGCAGTGGAATGGTTGCACTTGTGATGTCCCTTCTGACTGGAGCAGCTCCCCTGGGCCATCTGCAGCGGGTCCCACTTTTGATTGACTTGGGACGATACCGGTCAAAAAGGATGTCGACTCTGGCATACGGTCTTCCAAGGTGAACCACCCTGTCAATGAATATTGCAGCGAGGTCTCCGAAAGTAGTGGCAGTTGCTGGTTTCCCTATGCTGTTTACCAAAGCTTGACCGTCTATAATCAGTTGCGAAGGGTTTCTATCAATGTTAATGGAGTTTGGGCATTCCACGCCTTCAGCAACGAGTTTTATCATCGATGCTTTTTCAGACGATCTGAGGGTGCCATCCATTTCCGCTATCGATAAAGGTACTGGAAGAAGCTCGTGCTTCAAAATGGAGGGCAAGTCAATTTGTCTGCCTGCTTCGAAAGCTACAATTAGACGACGTAAAACATTCCTGTCAGCTTCTACAACCTTTTTCTGATCTTGAGTGTCCTTAACTATGAAGAGGTCCGAGAGAGTTGAAGCAGTTTTTTGGTATCTTAGCATAAAAACTTTTGACAGGTTTTTCAGACGACTCTGGAACAATAAGGCGCTGATTTACAAAGTTTATAACCAGATCTGATCCGCGCTTCTTCGCTTCAAGGAGCTATGTCTGAATTTCTTTGGTTGCCCGGTCTTTAGTGGCGACGTTGCAGAGCTATAGGAGCCGTAGGGTCCATCAAATGGAATGACTGCATAACCCTGAGGAGTGCATCTTCATCAGATTTATCTCTTTTTCTTTGTATTGCTTGAAAATTCCTATTTTGATAGAGATATGGAGGGCAGATTTGTGCATTTCTTACTACTTAGGCATCTCAACTGGGTCCTCCGAAATGCACAAGTACTAGAGGATCTGCCCTCCATTTCTCTATCTATCAAGGAGTTTTCAAGCCATAATATGTAACAAATACAGTAATAGTCAACGTACTAAGTATATATTTAACCACTAAAAACTGTATATCTGACAGATATTGCACTCCGAATACAAGAATACGTAAACGATGAAGTTTCGGCGACCATCTTGGTCGCCATTTTGGAACCCACGCACTCTAGGCTCAGAGTAAGTAATTTCTGAGCATTTCAATATGATAAGCATCCGTGGAAACCACTAAGCCGGCAATTGAATCAATATTTTGAGCCAACCGAAAATGGAGATATGGGGCAACAGTGTTTTGACCACCATCTCGGTCGCCATCTTGGATACCGGACTTCCGGTCCAAATTTCGCTTTGGCAACAGGCAGATTCGTATTCAGCGGGGTCGAAATACCTTAATAACGTTGTTTCCTCAATTGTTACATGAAATGCTTCTTGCACTTTATAGAGATGGATTTCCTGCTTATGGGCCTGGTCTATGTGGGTTTCTTCAATTTAGTGCCCAGCGATTCCAGTACAGAACTCATTTACTTAGTCAATGTCACAATTCTTTCAAGTACTTTGGTGCAGAATTTGAACCACGAATTTCTTGGAGTTAGAGGTATGCTGGGACAAAATATATCCCGCTCTGCAATGGGCCAATGATTGTGGTACGACGGTTTATTTTCTCTCCCGCCCCATATTACTCACTCATATTGGTCTTTTGAATCATATGTTCTAAGCTGAAGCGAATAAAACAATTCATTATTAGTGAATAGAATAAACTCGAAACTTGTTCCGTACGTTGTGTTTCTCCTCTCGAATTGCGGCTGCAAATTTTATGCTTATTATGTTATTACATTTTTTGTTGAATTAAATACTATCTAGGCAACATAGGTAACCTACTTGTTATATTTTTCCAACTTATATGTTTATTTTTCGTTCACAAAATGTGAAAATCTACGCTGTTTGAAATTTGTCCCACCATACAACATGACCAAGACATTTTTCAAGGATAGTGATGAGGAAAATGATGTCGAATTCAATTTTAACAACATTATACTGTCTGATATGTATATCGAGACAACAGTACTTATATATGGATACATGGGACCCAGAAGATTTGATACCCCTATCGCGGAGTTGAAACCAGGGATAGAGAAAAAAATGGTGTGGAGTGGATGAGATCGTTCAGCCAAAAGATTTCAATAGAATCTCTGGAGTGGCTCAAGATGGATAATCTCTCTCTTCAGTTCATCACGAACAAATTATTGAATCACATGGTTTTCCAGATCAATCTATATACATATATCTAAATGCAGAATTATCAGACGACTGGAAAGACATATAAAGGGACAGATATTCATGAAATCTTTTCCTTGGATGCCGCTGTAGTCAACTCATTTATTATTCACAGAATACTCTATATCTTTCAAAGTTATCAATGAAAGATTTGATCATTTTGTCGTCAATAAATATCAGTATCTTCATCGAGAACATCAATCGAATGGACAAGTCAAATAGAGAAAAACACTCAGTCAAAGCCCGATAATGAGAGTCGCACAGGGTGCTCATCAACCTATCCGAACAAGTCGAAGGAGATAATGTTCTTTGCAATTCAGGAAAGTTTGAAGTTGGAACAAACTGGTTGTGTGTTTCACTCTGTCTTGCAAAGAACAAAACATGTTTGCAGACGTTCCACAGTGATTTGAAATGAGTCGATTCTCATGAAATCTTTTACCTTATGGAATGGTGGGCTAGATTTTGACCCACCGTTTTTTTGTAAAAATTGGAAAAATCTGAAATTATTTTATATTTGTTCGTATCTTTCCAGACATTTGGAGTTAGTTTGTTAATGAATCTCTTGAAAATCTGAGGAAAAATAAAGCTGTACATCTAGGGGGTGTTATATTTCTAAATTCCTGTATACCTGAAAGAGTTGAATTAAACAAATCACAGAATGTTTTTTCTCATTTTTACGATCCGTGACCGAAAATGTCACTTCTACATTCAACAGTGTTGCTTTCTGCAGATTATACACAATTATACATGAAATCGAAAGATACATACCTCCAAATTTCAGCTAATTTGTATAATTATACATAAAACGGCAACACTGGTAGAATGTGAAGAGATGGAGACCACGCTCGCAGGGACAGGCGGGCAGGGACGTCTTTATTATTATATCTTGTGAAATTCATCGATATTTTCAATGGTAAAATATATGATGAAATATTTTGATACGTGTCTACTTAATTTGGTACGGATATTTATTTGAAAAAATCTGGGGGGGGGTGGGCTGTAAAGGCCTAGGGGGACGGACCATCCAGGCCCCCCTATAGTTACGCTAGTGGTGAAATCACTGAAAAATATGGAGGGGGGGGGGTCAGTGACGATGCCAGGCCTGTCCCAGTGATTTTCTTTTTTGAGCTAATCATCTCTTGCCTCTTGAAATATTTCGTTAAAATGATTCGTTTTATATAAGTAATAAAAAGAGGTTCTAGATGAACCTCAATATGAAAATTGTTGAGATGATCTTGTCCACTTTTTAGTATTGCCAACAAAATTTTCATTATTTTACGTTGGAACCTCAGTTGGAATCCTGAAGACAAGGACAGAATGGGAAGACATATTTTTTCTCTCTCAACGCCAGCTGAATTTTGGATGTTCCGCATGCAAACATCTATGAATGAAATGAACGAATACCGTTAACTTTGAATTTGCCGAGTCCACACTGCTTTCTGGACGAGGTTCTGGAGGATATTCAAAAACTTTGTGTGTATATCGTTTGAATTCATATTCATGAGTAAGTGATGTAGGACCGAGTGTAAGATCCTCGTGTATATCCTAGTGTATATTTTTTCAAATATCCGAGGAGGCGAGGAAACGTCAGAACGAAAATACCTACCCCATTACCCGTTATTTTCTCGGTTATTTTAGGCTTATTGTACATTCTTCTTATTTTTCTTGTTGTCCTATCAGACGATGTACAGGGGTAGTTTTATTAATGTGAACCCTCGTTTATATTTTTTGTTTTGTACTCATTCCAAAAAAATTTAAGCTGATTTTATACAATTTAAAATATAGATTTCACTCATACTGACAATGATGCGATATCTCTTCAAATATACAGGGTATACAGAAAAATATATTTTTTTCAAATGGAATGCGCTGTATATTTTGATAGATTTGAATTCCTCAAGTCATCCTGATTTCAAATATATGATAATATAAGGGATTCATATCTATCGAAATATACAGCGCATTCCATTTGAAAAATATAAATATTTCTGTATACCCTGTTTATTTGTAGAGATAATGCAACACTGTCACTATGATTGGAACCTGTATGAAAAATTATTGTATAAAATCAGTCCTAAAATTTTTTGGGTGCGTGGAAAACAAAAAATATAAAGAGGGGTTTACGGTTTACATTAATGAAACTAGCCCTGTACCGCATATTTTTGAGATCATTTTATGGTGAAAAATGAATAGGAGGAATGTTGTTTCCTCCGTGATTTCCTCCAACTTCCATCTTCCGAAATGTTTCATACTCCGTTTCATTGTAATAATTATAATATTGTAATACTCACCGGCAACAATAACCTGCCACTTAGACATGTTTTGTCCATTTTAAGTTCTCCCTCGAGTTCCCCTAAACATTTTTTGTATCACTAATACTATTTTAATCTAATTTATTTTGTGTGTGTTATTGACTGATGCTTTCTTCCGAAGTTCCTTAGCCAATTTTTACATCTCCATACCACTCTATTTGGTACTACCTCTCGTGCTACCAAAATAGGAAACAGAAAATTTGCGTACCTATACCTATAGCATGATAGAATAGAAGCAGGTTGTTGTGAATTCTGAATTTATTGACATCCTTATCTATGTCAGTTTATCTACCACAGTTTTCGAGGTATGTTGATTTTTCTGAAAATAATCACAATCGTAGTAGTTAACGAAAACATTTCTATCTTGCAAAGCGTTCAAAATAAGACCACCAAATTTGTGGAAAAGTTAGCACGATAGTAAGTCCCATTGAAGGTCCCATTAAGTACCAAATGTCGCATTGAAAAATGCCAAAAACTCAACTTTCTCTACTATTTTTTTACATCATTTGAAAGATACTTGAATACGACCTTGAATATGTGGATGAGTTAAGAAACCATTCCCTATACCTGACTACCTATATTCTAACTTCAAAATCAAGAAGTGCCTTATATTTCTTTATCTTCATCATCAGGGTTCCTGCGTAAAATTATGAAAAATGTTATGTTGGTAACACATCAAATGAGATGAAAAGGAGAAGATTATTCTAACCATTTGTATATGTATATTCGCATAATATTATATCATTTTGAGAATATAAATATATTGATTGCACTGGGAAAACGAGGAAACAGTTGAATACTGCGAATTTCGTTTATGAAAATTGTTATGTGTCTCAAATTTCATATGATAATAATCTCTTAGTCTATAGCCTCGCACTTCAAAATACCATAACGAGTATACAATTATATCTGATGTCGTCACATGAGTACTTATTGAGTTCATTCAAGTTTGTTTTATCTTGTTTTTCTTACTATTAATAAATTCCAAGATAATTTCTTCGTACATGCATCAAATTTCTATTATTCTTATCATTAGTTGA